GTATTGTGTTAGGCCTTGTACCTACTGTGCCTTACTTGCTTTCTTCTTGACTCTGCCTGTACTGTCCTCTTTGTACATATACCTGCATGCTTATACTTGCTAGGTTGTGTTCACTGTATTGTTTGCTTTCCTTTATATAACTCTGCATGTGAACTGGCCTTGTGGCCCTTTGCTTGTGCTCAGACTGCGTGGTGACTTTGTGATCCACCCTGAGCTTGCTTTGCTTTTCTTGACTGGTCTTGTGACAAGACCAGTCAAGAAAGTGGGGGAGAACAAGCGGTCACAAGACCAGTCAAGAAAAGCAAAGCAAGCTCAGGGTGGATCACAAAGTCACCACGCAGTCTGAGCACAAGCAAATGGCCACAAGGCCAGTTCACATGCAGAGTTATATATAGGAGAACAAACAATACAGTGAACACAATCTAGCAAGTGTAAGCATGCAGGTATATGTGTAGAGAGTACAGTACAAGCAAAGTCAAGAAGTAAGCAAGTGAGGCACAGTAGGTACAAGGCCTAGAACTGTACAGAAACACTGATGATCACAAGGTTGAATTGCCTTGGTGAAAACATCAGCAGTGTTGGCCTGAGAGGCCACGTAAGCAAGACGAAGCTGACCACGCTGCTGCAACTCTCGAGCAAGGAAGTAGCGCAGAGCAATGTGCTTCGTTCTATGCTCCAGTCTGTGCTCCTGACACAAGGCACGCATGGCCTTGTTGTCGACGTACAGAACTGGAGGAGAACAAGGCGCCTCTCCCAAGTCGGTCAGCAGGTAGGTGAGCCAGCGTAGCTCCTGTGCAGCCATGGCCCCAGCGTAGATCTCAGCCTCACAACTGGAGCTGAGAACAGAAGAAGAGCGGGTAGACCGCCAAGAGACAGAGCCGGAACCAAGACTGAAGGTGTAACCCTATGACGACCGCTGCGTAGACAAGTCGTCAACCCAGGAAGCGTCTGCGTGACCAGTGAGGACAACTCGAGCCCGTCCTCCAAGCACGAGCCCCATGTCCGACGTACTGCACAAGTAGCGCAACACCCTCTTCGCAGCATCCCAGTGCACCTTTCGGTGTCGACCGGGAGCCACGTAGCGAGCCAGAAGGCTGAGGGGGTATGCGAGGTTAGGTCGTGTGCAAGTCATCAGGTACATGAGGCAGCCCACAAGCTCTGGATACGGGCCACTCGGCTCTACGGACTCGTCCGAAGGTGGAGCTGAGAGCGAGTGACCAGTAGGCAGAGGAGTGGACTGTGGCGAGGAGTACGTGAAGCCGAAGCGCTAAAGGACCTGCTGCACCATGTGTGACTGAGTCAAGGTAATGGTGCACTGTGCTCTGTCCCGTGTGATCCGCAAGCCAAGATAGCTTGTCAGTTCACCCAGGTCTGTGCACGTGTGTCTCTTCTGCAGCTCGGACTTCATGTGGGCGAGTGCCTCGGTGTCAGCAGTAGCGAAGATGAGGTTGTCTACGTACACGAGAACGTAGAACGGCGGCAGAGTGGTATCAGTGCGTAAAAACAGTGACGGGTCAGCAGTGGAAGGAGCAAAACCAAGAGTAGCAAGAGTCGTCCTCAGTGTGTCGTGCCACTCACGGGGTGCCTGGCGGAGACCGTAGACTGGCCGCCAGAGGCTCCACTGGGTACCAGCAAGAAACGACCCAGTGAAGCCAGGTGGGCGGCGTAGCCAGATCTCCTCGTGCAGGCTCCCCTGTAGGAAGACTGTGCTGAAGTCAAGCGAGTGGAGCTCGTAGTCACGCTGAGCGGCGACGTGCAGCAGTACCCGAAGAGTGGTCACCTTCGAGGTAGGGGAGAAGGTCTGGAAGAAGTCAACTCCCTGTCGCTGACTGAAGCCACGTGCAACGTAACGCGCCTTGAAGACAGGCGGAGAACCCGGCGGCTGCTTCACCCTGAAGATCCACATGCCACTGACGATGTTCGCCCCAGGCAGAGGAACCTCGTCGACGTAGGTGCCTGTGGACTTCCAGGAAGCTATCTCAGCGTCCATGGCTGCCTGCCACTGAGAGGAGTAGGGACCCTCTATCGCCTCTGCGTAAGAGCGCGGGGTCGGGATGTCTGGTGCATCCGGGTCTCCCTCAGGGGCAAGCAGCATGGACACGAGATGAGGTACAACATCGGCAAAGCACTCAAACTCCTCAAGAACGTCCGTGCCAAGAGCACACTCACCCCCGACGGACGGAGGACAGACAGACGCAGACGCAGACTCAGCAACAAGACTAGTGGCGTAGTCTAGGTGACAGGCTGCAGCAAAGTCAACAAGCTCAGCAACGAGAGCAGACGCAGCAGTGGACTCAAACAAAGGGTCAGTGACAGCAGTGGCCAGGAAACGCGTGACAGTAGGACTAGCAGCACGAAGGGAGTCAGACTCCGGGTCCGGACCGACAGGAAGAGAGGATGCTAGAGGAGAGGGCAGGGGGACACGCTGTGGAGCAGTGGAAGGACGCAGTGTCATAGAGTGAATGCCATGGACAGGAGGAGGACGCGGACGCAAAACACGACGACCAGCGCGAGCAGTGGGGACAGACGACGTAGAGCGAGACACAAGCGACACAGGACGCGACTCCGGCTCACGATGCTCCGTAAGACCTCTAGTCGGTCCAGAGTAAGGGAAAGGACCAGGCAGTGGAGAGGACGGTTGTAACTGCGACTGTGACTGGACAGGCGGTGGACTCAGTAAAGGTGAAGTAGGACCAGGAGAAGGCGGGAGACCAAGAACCTGCTGAAGGAGCGGAACGCAGCGCCTCCAGAAACAGCAGAGACAGCACCAGTACCCTCAGCTCCTGGGTCTCCAGGAACAACTCCCGCAGCACCACCAGCTCCAGGACCTGCAGCTCCAACGCCTGCAGCACCACCAGCCCCAGCAGCTCCAGTACCTCCAGTACGAGCACCTCTAGGACCGGCGGCTCCAGCAGCTCCAGCACAAGCAGCACCTCCAGCAGCTCCAGCACCAGCAGTACCTCCAGCAGCACCAGCACCAGCTGCACCTCCAGCAGCTCCAGCACCAGCAGCACCTCCAGCAGTACCAGCACCAGCAGCACCTCCAGTAGCTCTAGCACCAGCAGCACCTCAACCAGCTCCAGCACCAGCAGCACCAGTAGCACGGCGACAGCGCCGAGCGTACCACTCAGTAAGCCGCTGCCAAGAGAGGGGCTCCCGCCGCAACGGGACACCCGGAGAACCTCCAGACTCAGCACACGCAGGCTCAGCACCCCCAGACGCAGCACCCCCAGGCTCCACACGCTCAGGCTCAGCACCCCCAGGCTCCACACGCTCAGGCTCAGCACCCCAGACTCCACACGCTCAGGCCCAGCACCCCCAGGCCCCGCACCCCCAGTCCCCGCACCCACAGGCACAGCACCCCTAGCAGCACCTGAGTCGACAGCTACCTCGACCGGCTCGGCAGGGTCTACCTGAGACACACCTGAGGGGGCAGGACCCTGAGGGGGGAGGGGGTCTACCGGAGGAGTACCTGGTGCTAGGAAGAGCGGCGGGGGGGGGAGAGAGGAAGTGCGGAAGGGAAAGAGACGGTAGTAAGACACCGACTCGTCAAACGTGACGTCCTGAGAGGACAGAACACGACGCGAGGTGGGGTGGTAGAACTGCCACCCGGGTGCGTCAGGGGGGAAGCCAAGGAAGACGCAGGGAACGGCACGGGAGGACAGCTTGTCTGCTAAAGTATCGCGGACAAAAGCTCGAGAACCCCAGACACGGAACGCGGACGCATCGCCAACCTTCCCCGTCCACCTCAGAATAGGTGTGGTCTCCGGCAAGGAGACACGAGGCTGAAGGTTGATCTGATGCGCAGCGTACTGAACCGCGAACGGCCACAGAAAATGGGGAGCAGCCGCATGGATCATGGACATACGAGCGACGTCCATGACCATGCCAATGCGGCACTCAGCAATCCCATTTTGCTGTGGGGAGGCCGGAAGCGTGAACGTCTGGCGGATGCCCTCCGCACGACAAAAGGCCCTCAGGAGGTCGGAGGAAAACTCACCACCTCTGTCTGAGTGCAGACGCAGAACAGGAAGATCCGAGCCGAAACTCTCGCTGAGCAGGCGACAAGCACCGCGGATCCAGTCGATCAACACCTCAGTGACCTCACCCTTGCTGCGCAAGGGGAAGGCTGTGGTGTAACGCGAGTAGTCGTCAACGACCAGGAAGGAAGTAACGCGCGTGACCCTGTCCACGGACGCGGGCTGGGCCCCACACGTCCATGTGAAGAGATTGCAGAGGAGCCTCTGTCGGAGGGAACGTGGAGGAGTGAGGAGCGGCGCGCTGCCGGCCCTCAACACAGGGAACACAGGTAGGGGCAGGCCCCGGAGGAAGGGGAGGGAGGGACCGGGGCAGACCCGAGACAAGGGTACGGGAGGCCATACCTCGAAGACGAGGCAGGGAGGGGTGACCAAGGCGGTGGTGCCAAAGGAGAGTCTCGTGCGACAGAGGACGACACGAGCAGGGGGCAGACGCAGGACTAGACCTGGACGCTGCAGCAAAAACCTGACTAGACGCGGCTACCTGATCAGACGCAGAGACCGGAGGAGACGCAGTAGTAAGTGTGTACAGACTCGACCCTGGTCGACGGGTGAACGTGTCCAGGTGGCGGCCCGTCCGGGAGCAAGTGCAGTGGGTCACACGCTGACCTCCAGGGGCGAACTGGTCAGCCCACGCGTCCTGGAGGTCAGCTCCACTCACCAGGTTCGTAGAGAACGAGGGGAGGTGGAGTCCCGACAGCAAGCCCGACGGGGCCGCAGGACACGGTAGAACCGTGGAGCAGTGCGCAAGGACTGGGCCCCCAGAGGGGTCAGCCAGGGAGACTGCGACAGGCCGACCGAGCGGCGTGAGTGTGGTGCTGTCGCGAAAGAAAGAGCGCGAAGCACCAGAGTCAAGTGTGAAAAAGTGCAAGGCCTCAGTAGGTGCAGTACCAGAGAGAGCAGACTCACCAGCACCTGGAGCAGCAGACTCACCAGTACCTGGGGCAGCAGACGCACTAGCACCTAGAGCAGCAGCCGCAATGCCCGGGTCGGGCGGGACACTCAGGTAACAGTCACCCTCAGCACTATCAGTCAAAGCATACATGGCAGCAAGGAAGGCATCGAAATCAAGATCAAAGATAGCCACATTCTGCCTAAGCAGATCACCCCAACGAGGGAGCTCAACAGCGTCAGGAAACTGGGCGCGCTAGGCGTCAGTCAGGCGACCGAAGCAGTGCTGCGTAGTGTGTGGCAGCCCGCACGTCTCCCCACGACGACTGCCGGTGCGAAGAACGTAAGTGCAGGGACCAGCACCCCCAGACCTCCCACGCCCAGCGTACCACTCACAAGCTGTTGGGCCGACGGGGTCTCACGAGAACGCGGCTGCTGCTGGCGCTGGCTACCACCAAAGCCTCCACGCTGCGCGGCTGCACCTCGACCAGCACCACCGCCATCACCACCTCCGCCACCGCTGCCGCTGCCTCCACCACCGCTACCGCTGCCTCCACCACCGCCGCCGCTGCCTCCACCACCTCCACCGCCGCCACTGAAGCCCCCACTCCGGGCACCACCCCCACCTCCACCGCCACCCCCTCCGCCTCCTCCACCGCCTCCGCCGCCGCTCCCGCCATCCCCTACACCACCCTTGCTCCCCTTGCCTTTGCTGTTGCGGCGCCTCCCACTAGGAGCAGACGCAGCCCCGACCTCCTCAGTGCCAATGAGGTCGAAAGCAGCAGAAGAAGCAACAGAGGGGAGAAGGGGGACAGGGGAACACCCCTCAAAGAAAGGGGTGCGACGGTCGCCGCGAGAAGCACCTACAGCTAAGATACTCTTCTCACCTGCAGCGAGGCGCTCCTCTAGCAGGTCGACAGTGAGCTCAGTGGGGCAAAGGGAGAGAAAGTGGTCCCTGACTGAAGAAAGAGAGTCAGGGAAGCGGGTGACTAGGTAGTAAAGGGTGATGTACATGGGGGGGGGGGGTTCTTGGCACAGAACTCAGTGGGAAGGGCAGCGCGGTAGCGGGCGTCACTAGTGCGGAGGTGAGTAATGAGGTCAGTGACTGTGGCAAAGGCGGCAAGGTCAGGGAATAGGTACGGGAGCATGAGGCGGCTGAGGGCAGCAGTGGCAGGGGAGGAGTAGCGCGCAACTGCAGCGTCGTACAAAGATTTAGCAGTCTTGTACTGGCCAAAATGCGCGCGCTCAGCAGGCGGCAGGTGACTACGAACAGCAAGTCGAGCAACAGCGTCACGAGTGGTCCACTACGAGCGAACCGTACTGTCAACAGTGGCAGCAGGTGCAGTAGAGACACCGGACGTGTGATCGAAAAGGGATACCCCATCCCTAGAGTCACACTGAAGAAAGAGCCGTAGGTCGTCAACCCACACGTCAAAGTCAACTACACGCCCCTCAGCATCAAAGGTGAGAACAGTAGGGCTAGCCATAGCAGCAGTAGCAGCAGTAGCAGCAGTAGCAGCAGGAGCAGTGCAGGCAGGGCAGTGCAGCTCAGTTAGGGCGGTGCGGCTCGGTAGGGCGGTGCGGCTCGGTAGGGCGGCGCGGCTCGGCAGAGCGGCGCAGCTCGGTGGGCGGCGCGGCTGGGCTGGGCGACACGGCTGGGCAGGGCAGCGCGGCCCGGGGACTGGCGGCGCGGCGCGCTAGCAGGTGGCGCAGCGCGGGTGCTTACCAGGGGCGGGTGCAGGGCAGGGCCGCGTCCGGGGTAGCAGCAAGGCAGAGGCTGCGACAGGGGCGGCAGGAGGGCAGGGCCGCGACAGGTGCGGCTGCAGGGCAGAGGCCGCGACGGCGGCGAAGACAGGGCCGCGACAGGGGGCGGCTGCAGGGCAGAGGCCGCGACGGACGGCGAAGGCAGGGCCGCGACTGGGGCGGCAGCAGTGCAGTGGCCGCGACAGGGGGCGGCTGCAGGGCAGAGGCCGCGAAAGGCGTCGAAGGCAGAGCCGCGACAGGGGGCGGCTGCAGGTCAGTGGCCGCGAAAGGGCGGCGGCTGGGCAGAGGCCGCAACGGGCGGCGAACAGGCCGCGACGGGCGGCAAAGGGGCCGCGACGGGCGGCAAAGGGGGCTGCAACCGGCGGCAAAGGGGCTGCGACGGGCCAGGGACAGGCCGGTGTGGGGCAGCACGGGGCTGCAGTGGGCGGCTAAGGCAGGGCCGCGACGCTTGGCGACGGGCCAGCGACGGGCGTCTAAGGCAGGGCCACGACGGGCCAGCAAAGGCAGGGCCGCGACGGGCCGTACTAGGGCAGGGTGCAAGGCGCTCTTCGGGCAGGGCGCGAAGCGCACTTCGGGCAGGGCAGGAAAAATTCGTGGTGGGCCCTTTAAAAAAAAAAAAAAAAACCGTTCCCACTAGGGAACCTGCTCAGAATACCATGTTAGAATATGGAACGAATGAAATGAACTAGGAAGCAGGTGGGTACAAGTAGTAAACCTAAAAGTGTTGTACCCTATATGAACTACCCCACTACAGCCTAGATAGACTATAGCATATAAGTTTGACATCTCTCTCTCTCTCTCTCTCTCTCTCTCTCTCTCTCTCTCTCTCTCTCTCTTTCTCTCTCACATTCTTTCCCTTACTCTTTAGTGCATGAAGGCTGATGCTTGAGACCATCTTCAGAGTCGTCGGTGTCTTTGTCGGCCGCTGGAGCAGGGGGCGATGCTGTCGCTGTGTCGTTGTCGTGCCGATTCGTCCTTGCTCCTCGCGTGCCTGTTTCCTTTTTCGCATTTTCTTTTTTAGCCGACGCAGATGCAGCCGGTAGTGCAGTTTCCGCGGCTGTAACGCTGACGGGCTGCTGCTGTAGAAGGGATAGCTGCGCGTTGACCTGGTCCGGGGTCAACGCCTGCGTCAACGCAGGGGCGGTCGTCGCGTCAGACGAGGAGACCGCCGTCCGCCTCCTCTGGCGCTGACGCGACGGTCCAGCCGCGGATGCTGGCGTGTGCTCGGCGTCAGTGGCGTGTGCCGCGCCAGCATCCGTCGCCACTTGCGCCGCAGGTGCCACTGGCGCCACAGGCGCCGAAGGGTGCTGCTGGGCGTCGCCCCCTTTGTTGACCTCGAGCCCGCCCAGCAGCACGTCCACTGCAGTCGGGGCGGGCGGACCATCCTCTGTCCGTCGCTTGTTACGGCGTTCGCCCGCCAAATCGCGGGTGTTACGGTCGGAGTCGGAAGTGGGGTTGGACGAGTTCCCGTTGTTAAGTGTCGGCGTCGGTGCCATCGTTGAGCGATTGAAGTTAAAAATGTCGCTGAGTAAAGTCGAGGGTGACTCGCCTCTAGGAAGCGATTTTGTCCTAGCCAGCTTGGACGGAGGGATAAACTACGTGAGCGGAAAGGTTGAGTGAGCCGTTTGAAAATAGAGAAACGTGGGTGGAGGAAATGAGCTCAAATCCACGGTTTTTGTAGTTGGAGAAGGGTGTTTAGCGCGCTTCGACGATGCCAATTGTGCAATACAAGCAGCTTCGCTTTCACAATACACAATTTTGAAAAACACTATGTGTGTTTAAAAAATATAATTTTTTATGCGCGAACCTTATGCAGACGCGCCAGATGCTTCTCTGACACACAAACTGCACATACACATTTGCATCAGATCTGTTTTCTGGCGTGTTTTTCCATTTGGAGGATCTTTCCTGCTGCCGAGTGGGAGATCTCCACTCTCTCACATGCTTAAACGCACAGATCTGACTATCGAGATTCGAGGAGTTATCTGTCAGAATATATTTGCTGTCTAGCCTGTAGTGGGGTACTCTGTAGTGAGTACAACCCAATTTAGGGTCTTGTACTTGTATCCCAACTCTTGCTAGTGAATCACATCATTCCTCTCGACATTCTCCTTTCCAATCCTCTCGACACTCAACTCTCTCGACACTCACTAGCCATGGCTCCTAAGTCACGCTAGTATTCTAACATGGTATTAAGAGCATAACTTTCCTAGGACCTAATGTTAATGGGCCCACCACCTACTGCCCTGCTAGCCTAGGCCCCGGCCCGTTGCCCCTTGGCGTCGCCCCTAGCCCCTAGGCTCGGCCCCTTGGCCCCGTCGCCTCGGCCCCTTGGCCCCGTCGCCTCGGCCCCTTGGCCCCGTCGACTCCGTCGCCCCGCGCCCGGCCCGTACTTAGCCCGCGATCGGCCCGTACCTAGCCCGCGATCGGCCCGTACCTAGCCCGCGCTCGGCCCCGTTCCTAGCCGCGCGATCGGCGCCAGTACCTAGCCCGCGATCGGCCCGTACCTAGCCTCGCGCCCGGCCCGTACCTAGCCCGCGCTCGGCCCCGTTCCTAGGCCCGCGCCTGGCCCCGTACCTAGCCCGCGATCGGCTCGTACCTAGCCTCACGCCCGGCCTCCGTTCCGCGCCCAACCCCCGGCCCCGTACCTCGCCCGCGCCTGGCCCCGTACCTAGCCCGCGCCCGGCCCGTACCAAGCCCGCGCCTGGCCCCGTCCTTCGCCCAGCGCCCGGCCCCGTCTCTTGCCCGCGCTCGGCCCAGTACCTAGCCCGCGCCCGGCCCCGTACCTAGCCCCGCGCCCAGCCCCATTCCGCGCCCAGCGCCCGGCCCCGTACCTGCCCAGCGCCCGGCCCCGTACCTGCCCAGCGCCCGGCCCCGTACCTGCCCAGCGCCCGGCCCCGTACCTGCCCAGCGCCCGGCCCCGTACCTGCCCAGCGCCCGGCCCCGTACCTGCCCAGCGCCCGGCCCCGTACCTGCCCAGCGCCCGGCCCCGTACCTGCCCAGCGCCCGACCCCGTACCTGCCCAGCGCCCGGCCCCGTATCTGCCCAGCGCCCGGCCCCGTACCTGCCCAGCACCCGGCCCTGTACCTGCCCAGCGCCCGGCCCCGTACCTGCCCAGCGCCTGGCCCCGTACCTGCCCAGCGCCCGGCCCCGTACCTGCCCAGCGCCCGGCCCCGTACCTGCCCAGTGCCCGGCCCAGTCCCTGCCCAACGCCTGGCCCCGTACCTACCCAGCGCCCGGCCCCGTACCTGCCCAGCGCCCGGCCCCGTTCCTGCCCAGCGCCCGGCCCCGTACCTGCCCAGCGCCCGGCCCCGTCCCTAGCCATGGCCCCGTCGCCCCTAGCCATGGCCCTGTCGCCCCTGGCCATGGCCCCTCGCGACCTGCCGCCCCTAACCGCGGCCCCGATGCCCTGTTGCAACATGGTGGGTGAGGGGGTGGCAAGAGGGGGTTCTTCCTGCCCACGTGCCCTACAGTCGCACGCGCAGCTCCGCCCCCGCCCCCCTCCCCCCCCTCCCTCCCCTCCATGGGGATGGCGGGGAGAGGGGGGGGGAGCTTGGAGGTTCAGGGGGAGGCAGGAGGGGATCTGCAGCACCAGGTCCCCCACCCTTCTCCTACCTCCCCCTACTGCGGGTGCAGCAGAGGGGGGGAGGGGATCTGCAGCACCAGCCCCCCCCCCCCCCGCAGCAGGGGGGAAGGGATCTGCCATCCCCCTGCTGCGGATGCGGCAGTGGGGGGAGGGGACCTGCAGCACCTGCCCCCCCCGCCCCCCCTTCTCCTCCATCTCTCTGCTGCGGGTGCAGCAGTGAGGGGGGGTATGGGGGTGGCGGGTGTGTGAACCGTCCCCTGCTCCTCCTCCTCCTCCGTCTCCCACTGCTGCAGCTGCCGCTGAGGGGGGTGGGTGTGTGGGAGCCTAGGGAGTGGTGCTAGGGGGGTGACGTGGGAGTGGAGCTAGGGGTGCAGCAAGGGGTGTGTGAAAGGGGGGTGGGACAGTTGGGGGAGGTTGAGCGGAGGTAGCCGTCGTGTCGCCAGCAGCGCCAGTAGTCCGGAGGCTACAATCTCTGGTAGCCCAGCGAGCCTGCTGCGCCAGTCGCCCGTGGGTCCGTTGCTCCTGCTGCTCAGAGTTAGCCGCAGAGCCAGTTAATCCTGTAGTCCGGGGCCCTTGCTCCGGTAGCCACAGTGCGTGCCGCTCCTGTTGCCCGTGTGTCTGCAGCATCAACAGTCGCCTCCTATCTCCTCTCCTCTCACAGTCTAGCCTCTAGTTTTGCTTGTACTTGTGAACCTGCTCTATGACTGCTTGCTCTGCTGATTATACCCCACTTTGACTATGGGGGTGTGTCAGAATATATTTGCTGTCTAGCCTGCAGTGGGGTACTCTGTAGTGAGTACAACCCAATTTAGGGTCTTGTACTTGTATCCCAACTCTTGTTAGTGAATCACATCATTCCTCTCGACATTCTCCTTTCCAATCCTCTCGACACTCAACTCTCTCGACACTCACTAGCTATGGCTCCTAAGTCACGCTAGTATTCTAACATTATCTCCACTAGGAAGGCACACGCGATGTTAACAAACGTAAGTTTTGCTGCAATTCGTTTGAAATAATGCATATGTGTATTTCGTTTTCATCTGAATTTCCAGACTTGGAACTTTATTTCGTCTGAATTTCCAGACTAGCCGTAAAAATTCGTCTGAGCGTCAGACGAAGGAAAAAAACCCGGTCTGATTTTCAGACAAGGTTTTTGACTAGCAACGTCCCTGCTTCCCACATTCTGCTCAATGCAACCATTCCGCTGTTCTCATTCTGACATTGTCTTGTCCCAACTTCGCAGGAAGGCATTATTCTTCGCACTCTGTTATCTCCGTGTGATTACGGTGTTATCTCCATGGAATTCTGTCAGGGCATCTGGGACGGGAACAAAACAAGACTGAGAGGCGTACCTGCTCCATCTGTTCCTTGCTGAATGAAGCACATTGAAGAAATGATACCGTGGCTTTTCTATATACTGCAGTCTAGTTAAGTTACAATGAATAAACGCCTTGGCAAATCGAGAAAAAAAATACTGTAGGGTAGCTTCAGAATGTTTAAGACGAGGTTGAGGAAGCAGCCATAGCCTCTTTCTTCTCCCCACCAGATGTGGCCGCAGGAACAGCATGTGCTGATGGGGCGGATGTGGGCAGCCCCACCAGCTCCTGCATTGGCTTCCAGTAGAACTTGCGCCTGCACACACACACACACACACACACACACACACACACACCCAGCAGGCACCACATTCAAGTCAGAGAACACCCTGAGCTGCACATGCGGAGGCAGCTACGGAATGGCTGTGTATGTATGTATAGAATCGCTGTGCTGTAATTGGTACAGGTAATCGAGTGTGTGTGCTGCTACAGGGATGATGTAGTGATGTTCATTGTAATGTGCATGCATTGATTCGGGGGAGTGTGGCAGCCTGTGAGGAAGGGCAGGGGAGGGGAGCACTCACGAGTAGCCCATCTCCACCACCACCTTCACGTTGGGCCGCAGCGCTGGCAGCAGTGTGAGGAACTGCAGCTCGTTCTTCGCCAGCACCTGCATGCATGCACACGTGCACACGTGCACACGTGCCGCCCAACAACACGGAACATCAGCGCACGGCCTCGGCAAGTGACTTTGTCAGCACATGCACAGGAAACGCGTGGAATAGAAGCCATGGCAATGGGCGTGCTACTCTGGGGCTGTGGACCACCATGAGACCCTCAACGCCCTGCGGACAGCTTCCCATGCCAATGCGCTTGCCATCGCCACTGCAGCTCTGGCACGAGCAGAGGCGCATGCAATGAAGCATGTACTCCGTGAACCAGGGGCCAAGCCCCGCACACAAGTGAAAACAGCAAGCACGGCCCTTGTCCCTGCTGCGAGACACACCCATTCCAACGTCCGTCTCACTTTCTGATTCCGCGTAGCATTCCCAGCGGCTGTCGCAGCACAATCCCATGCCATTTCACCATTGCGCGACTGCCCCACACCATTGCGTGACTGCCCCACACCATTGCGCGACTGCCCCACACCATTGCGCGACTGCCCCACACCATTGCGCGAGTACCCCACACCATTGCGCGACTACCCCAGACCATTGCGCGACTGCCTCACGCCACCCACGGACGGCATGGCAAGGGGCTTCAGCGCCGTGCGTCAGCGCCGGCACCACTCACGGTGCGGTCAAGCCCCTCCGCGCCTCCCCCCAGCCCCACGCAGATCCCCATGGAGCAGCCTCGCCCACCCACCTTGGCGTCGCCCACCCACCTTGGCGCCGCCCACCCACCTTGGCGTCGCCCACCCACCTTGGCGTCGCCCACCCACCTTGGCGTCGCCCACCCACCTTGGCGTCGCCCACCCACCTTGGCGCCGCCAACCCACCTTGGCGCCGCCAACCCACCTTGGCGTCGCCCACCCACCTTGGCGTCGCCCACCCACCTTGGCGCCGCCCACCCACCTTGGCGTCGCCCACCCACCTTGGCGTCGCCCACCCACCTTGGCGTCGCCCACCCACCTTGGCGCCGCCCACCCACCTTGGCGTCGCCCACCCACCTTGGCGTCGCCCACCCACCTTGGCGTCGCCCACCCACCTTGGCGTCGCCCACCCACCTTGGCCTCGCCCACCCACCTTGGCCCCGCCCACCCACCTTGGCCTCGCCCACCCACCTTGGCCTCGCCGATCCAGAGCACGAGCCCCTTGTACTTGGGCGGCAGCACGGCCAGCCGGTGGTCCACCTCGGGCGGCAGGTAGAACCGCGCCACGGCTTGTCGGCCCAGATGCGGCTGCCAGTGCGCGAGAGGCACAAGGAGGATTTGGAAAAGAGGGGTGTGGGGGGGGAGGAGAAAGGGAAACGCGGATAGGGAGAGAAAGCGGGAAGAGGAGGAGTAGCGGTTGAGGCGGGCGCACGGAGCGGCGGTTCACGCGGCAGAGCAGGCGGGGTAGCGCTGAAGTGCGACAGCAACGACACGGCGAAGCCAGTCTGCCACGCGACCGCACGATAATCTTACGAGCGCGCACGAGAACCCTCGAGAACACTCAAGAGGACATTCGAGGGGAAGGGATGCACAACAGCCGTTTCTACGAAGAAACGGGCTCGCCTGTCCACCAATCAGCAGCTACGCGCTGGCCACCATAGCGGCGCGTGAATGGCGAATCATGCAGCCGCTGATGAGAGGGAGACGGCAGTGCGAGCGTGCTCTCTCTCAGCGATGCACCGCTCTTACTGAGCGATGCACCGCGGCATTGACAATGCAGACGACGGCCACGACCAACGGAACACGCGAGAAGCACGTACCGGGCGGACGCCGTGGGTCTTGAGGAGGTACGCCTCGGGGTCGCCGAGGCCGCGCGCCGAGATGTTCATCATGTGGTAACCCGCGTACTTCAGACTCGTCGCATACCGACCCTCCGCGCCGCCCTCCGGTGGCGAATAGAAGCCCACCGCGCCGTAGCGCTCAACGTCGTCCACCCACTGGCCGAGATCGAGCCCGATGAGATCCCCGCCGATGAAGTCGTCCAGCCCGCATGTCACCACGCCGCGCGACGCGCTCTGCGAGGGTAGAGCTAGTCTAGAGGTCTTGGCAGCTGCGGCCTGTGACAAGGAGGTGGTCGCACGAAGGCCGCTGAATGACACGGCGTCGCATTGCAACCGCCTTGCTGATGCTGGCCTGGACGAGAATTGACGGCTGCTTGACTTTATGCAGGCGGATGGGCAAGGGATGGTCGCCATGGCTGTGCCTGTGGTGGCTGCGATGAGAGGTGACTATCTCCCGTTTGTGACGGTTGTGGTTCCAGTCCACCTTGAAATCTCCGCAGTGGTGCCCCAGTGCCGCGCGGTGGGGTCGCGGGTTGAACTGGAGAGAGTGGGTTGTGCGTGAAAGGGGGGAGGAGACCGAATGTGGACAGAAAATCGGGAGAAGGGAGAAAAGCCGGGAAGTGATGACCACGGATTGGGGAGAAGCGTCCGACGTGGCAAGCCAGCAAGAGAAGTGGTGGGGAGGTGGTCTGAGCTGATCCAGACCCACTACAAATCTCCTGGCCAGTGTCTCCATTATCAGCAGTCATGAAGGTTTGTTATGAATGACGGCTAAAGCGTTTACATTTGCAAGCCATAGGAAAACCTGGGGTTTGACGAGATTATTCCCCTTGTGCGCAAACGAAATGAAGCTGGTTGGCGAACTGCTGACGCCTGAAACCAGACATCCAAATATTAAAGAATTTGACTCTCGATTTGCGAATGCATTGCAGAAGTCAAAATTAGGCCTTACCGTAACATTGCTTTTTTTCTCTCTCTCTCTCTCTGAGATTTAACGCTGGGATCTTTTTTCGTTGAAGTACGGAATGAATATATCATGTTACGATAACTAAAATATGAAACATTCCTGTACGTAACTAGAAGCATGCACAATCGAGTACGAATACGAACGGCAGGGCCTATGCTATCAGGATAATTTATCCGGAATCTCCTGAATTCAAGATAGGTGTGGTGTGCTTCTCATGAAAAAACAGCATAAGGGATTTGTTTGTCCTGTAAAATCAGTATAGGGTTATTTTGCATACTGAGTACTCAGGATAACACTGTAGGTTCAGCCCTGATGCGTCAGGATAATGTCGAGACTCGTCCTGAAGCGAGAATGCAAAAAAAAACATTTTCGGGGGCCTAGTGTGTTGGGCTGAGAAAGCCCTTAGGATCTTTGCAGGACAGAATTCAAGGGTAGGATGATGTAGTAGTGGAAGCGTTTTAATAAAGACTTGTTGAACCACCTTGTACTGGTTTGTGAGAACAAAGTAAGTTGATTAATAACAAAGAGATACAGGCTTTTATAAGAGTACAAGGGAATATGAAAGGATAAAGTTAATAACTGTTTTACTGTTGCTGTTGCGGTTCGATACAGTGTCGACTCGGGCAACTGCTCAGTATCGAGACAGTTGTTTGTCCTTGCTGTCGCGCTGCATTTGTCAGGTCAAAGGTCGCTGACCTTTGACTTTCGCGTAACCTCCAACAGTTGTTTCAACCTCCGAGGGTTGACTCGCCGATGTTTCCATATTATCTGTTTCGCTTCTGTCTTGGTGTTTCGACACGACAGAGGCGCTTAGATCAGTTGTTTCCAACACTCCCCTTCGCTTCTGGAGTGTCGCTGCTGGTGACGTGGCTCTGTCCAGTCAGCAGCATGCAATATTCGAACTTCGACTTTCCGAGCTTCTTGGTCAAGTAATCAGCTGCCATCTCAGATGTGGGGCAGTAAGACAGCTCAAGTCTCCCCTTCTCGATCTCGTCCTTTACGAAGAAATATCGCAGGGCGATATGCTTCGTCCTGTTCGCAAATCCATTTTTGTTGGCTATGCGAATTGCCGACTGGTTGTCACAGAATAGGGAGAAGCTGGGTAACTGGGCCAGCTTCGCCTCCTCCAGGAGTTCGCGAAGGTACAATCCTTCCTTGGTGGCTGAGCAGAGTGCGATATATTCTGCTTCGGCTGAGGAGAGAGCGATTAATTCCTGCTTGCTCGATTGCCAGGAAATAGGTCCGATAGGTTCTAGGCGATAGATGTAGCCTGTGCGCGAGCGCCTGTTGTCAGAATCTCCGGCGTGGTCGGCGTCGACGTACCCGATTAGCTTGGGCGTTGTAGTTTTGTTTTTGTGGTAGATTAGGCCGATCGTCGGAGTACTAACGAGGTAGTGAAGGGCGCGGTCTAGTTCCGCCATGTGTTCAACTTCAGGCCTTTTGAGGTAGGTGGCAAATTGGCTTGCGGAGTATGATAGGTCCGGGCGGCAGGTGACGGCCGCAAAGAGAAGGCATCCCAGCTTTCTCTGATAGTCGCGTATGCCGGCGGGCTTCAGTGGAGTAGATTCTGCCTTGTCGTTCCCTGCCGTGTAGCGGTATGGCGTAGAGATGGTAGTCGGCGTAAGTGAGAAACGTTTGGCGATGGTGTCGGCGTACTTTGCGGCATTAAGGTAGATCGCGTTTTCCCCTTCTTGGATATTGAGGCCGAGATATTGCGTGACGGTAGGTGAGACTGTGAGTGTGAGATCTCTCTGTAGCTCCCCTTCGAACCAGGTAGTGATGTTGTCGGTCGACCCGATGTAGAGTAGATCGTCTACGTAGACGATTAGTAGAATGTAGTCGTTGCCTTTCGTGAACCGGTACATTCCTTGGTCGTGCGGTAGCTGTCGGAATCCGATGCGAGTGAGTCGAGCGTGTAAGTGCTGCTGCCACAGTCTCGGGGCCTGTTTGATTCCGTACAAGGACTTCAGTAGCTGGCAGACTTGGTTAGGTTCTCCATGGGAACCGTGTGGAAGTTCGACGAATATTTCTGCGTCGACAGGTGCGTAGAGAAAAGCATTGGCAACGTCGATTTGCCGCAGTTTCTTTTTCTTCATAGCGGCGATTGCGAGAAGAATCCGTAGTGAGGTGTGTCGACTAACCGGTGCGAATGTCTCGGTGAAATCGCGTCCGTGCTCTTGGTCGAATCCGCGTACGACCCAGCGTGCCTTGAACTTGTCGATGGTGCCATCTGCTTTCGTCTTCACACGGAAGACCCACTTCCCGGTGAGTATTGTCTTGTTTCGTGTCACGCCGATAGGAACAACTTTCCAGGTGTTGCGTTCCTCGAGTGCTTTCAGTTCCTTGTCCATGGCTTCAAGCCATTTTTCCCTGTGCTCCCCCCCCAGAGCCTGCTGAACTGTGGCAGGCTCCTTAGGAGTTTCGGAGCCGTGGACCGCGGTGACTAGGCCGAGTATCTGAAGGCCACTATGTGTGTAGCGGGGGAGTGTTGTGTCCGCGGGATAAGCTGCTTCGTCACCTGTTTCTGGGTCAGGTATGAAATTGGGCCCTATGCGTTCTGCTTCGTTGGTGTTGACTTCTGCAGGTGTAACGTAACCGGTGTCGGCGAGGTCGTAATACGTTTCGGCGTTGATGCTTTCGCGAGGATTTTCGTCGTCCATCGGGATAGGCATGGAGCAGTATGGGAGTGGTCCTGCTTCTTCCGAGGCGTTATCCACGTTCTGCTCGTCCCAGTCAGCTTCGTCTGCTGCCGAGGCGAAGTGTCGGTCACCACAGAAGCCACCTGTGGGATCCCGATCTTCTTCCAGGTTGGCAAGGTATGTCGGAAGGGTGAGTCGTTCGTAGAAAATGACGTCACGTGCTGCTACTGTTTCTTTTGAGTGGACGTCGAAAATCTTCCACGCGTTGTAATTTCTTTCGATGCCCAGGTATAGTCCCCACTGTGCGCGTTGGGAAAATCGGCCGGCTCGTGCAGATGGGGGTCGGTACTATACCATGCAGCCGAAAACCCTTAACATTTTTGTGTTGCCCTGTTTTCCTGTCCACAGCAGGTGCGGTGATGCGTTGTTCGGTAGTGACGACGACGAAAGCAAGTTGTGCAGCATGACAGCGTGGTCCATCGCTTCAGGCCACTGGTGATTGGGCAGTCGCATGCCACGCAGTAATTTGCGCATGGTGTTCTGGAGAGTTCGATTCATCCGTTCCGCCACGCCTTGCTGTTGATGGGCGTAAGGAAGCGAGATGAGCCTCTTGATTCCCCTTTCTGCCAAGAACTGCTTGAACCTCTGTGAGGTGTATTCTCCTCCTCCGTCTGACTGAAAGCTTTTCAGTTTCTCGCCTGATTCTCGTTCTGCTACTAGAGAAGCCAAGCGATGAAGGCTTCGAAGGCCATGTCCTTGCTCGGAAGATTGAGGTGCCAAACGTAGCGTGTAGCGGCATCGATGAAGGTGATGGTATAACTGTATGCTCCTTGTCCGGGTTCACGATTGTACAGGATGTCGCTGTACACCTTTTCAAGTGGTGCATAAGCTGGTGCGCTGAGGTTGTGGTGAGAAGTGAAAGGTCGATGTGGTAAGTCAGCTTCGGGGCAGGTAAAACATGTTCCACGAGCTCGTCGAAGTTCGCTTCCATCGGTTAGAAGCAGTGAGTCTTTGTCGAGAACGCCTGCTCTGATTGTGTTGTTTAACACTGTATTGCTTGGATGTCCCATTCGTGCGTGCCAGATGTCTTCGCTAGCGCGATGTCCGGGTGAACGACGATACAGGTCAGAGTTGGAGTAGAAGCTTGCGGTGGAATTTGCACTTCGGTGTACTTCTCGTGACTTTGGGTGAAGCTGCTGCGCAGGAGTCGGTGGAGTGTCGTCAATTTGAGGTGATGTAGTTGAAGGACCAGCGATTGGTGTCAATGTTGCTGCTGCTGCTACCGTTGTTTCTGCTGCTGCCGATGTTGTTTCTGCTGCTGCCGATGTTGTTTCTGCTGCTGCCGAGTGTTGAATCGTTGCTAATGCTCTTGTTCGTTCTGCTTCAGGGATGGTGTGCGAGTACCAGAAGCCTTCTGAACTGAAGTCGGGGTCAAGATCCGGTGGATGTGTCCAAGAGGTGAAGGTGACAATCCCGTCGCTGTCAGCAGTTCCGAGATCTGGAACGAAGTCGAGGACAAATACATTATTTTTCAAGACCGCCTTTCCGATGTAGAGTCCGCCCTTGCCGTGGTACAACTTAAACTCCTGAATGGTGCTATCTGCTTCGAGGTGTATGCCCTTCGCCATCAGTTGGCTGACGCTCAGTAGGTTGTAACCGAGTCCTTCTGCTATCAAAACCTTCGACATCTGCAGTATGACGTTTGTCTCTCGTGACTGAAGTTGCACTACGCCTTGTCGTCGTGTGCGCAGGTTCTGATTGTTGGCGACGGTGATGACGACTTCACGTTGAAGTTGGTGTTCACGTTG